GCCCACGCCCACACCCAGGCCCACAGCGCCATAGCCAGCACCTGCGCCGCCATACAGGTCCGGGTAGGGCACATAAACGCCGGGCTGTGGCGTCACCTGCGAAGTTAATAACATACCAGCTTGAGTGTGCGTCGACGTCGGCGCCGGCGCCTGCGTCGCAAAGGCCCATTGCTGTGGCCCCGCAGTCGTCAGGGGATACATCAGTGGCTGGCTCTGATTTGCAATGGAAGCTGCTGCAGCATTAGCAGCTGGACCCGACACGGCCGCCGCCTGGGGCTGGGGTTGTATGAGGACAGGAATCGTCATCGCGCCGCCTCCTGGCGCGGCTGTCTGTTGTATGCAGCGTCGTGTTTGGCTTTGAACCAATTTGGCAAAGTACATTTGGTACTGCAGCTGCATGTGGACAAACAGATGCACACGGCATTAGTATACGGCGGAGGGTGACTTTTCAATTGCACCTGTGACGCACCTTCATCATTTTAAGTCTCTCGCTGCGCTGAGACATGACAGCCGTCTGCTCATCGATGCGCTCCAGCATCTGCACCAGCTTTTTGTTTCGTTCGTTGCGTAGCGTCTGCTCCTCGAGGAACTCCTGGTATTTCTGGCGTGTCTTCTGTCGTATGCCTTTCTCGCTGGAGCACACGAGAATGGATGGCGTTATAAATGAGTTTTTGGACTCGTTGGCATAGCAAAAACCAATTTTACTCACATCTCACTGCGCTTTTGCAGAACCTTTTCTAGTTTATGCTCCAGCTGCTGGCGATTGTCCTCGCTGTGGCATCAGGCGAAAAAGCGGTGGTTCGTCATGCATATAGGAATATAAAATATAATATAAATAAGAACTGTTTTTATATATACGCAACTTTCAAGTTTTGCTTCACTTAACTCAAAGTTCAGCAAATAATTACAAATTAATGTAAGCTACAAGCAAAAAATTGCTAAGCTAAAAGCCAAGTTAAGTATTTTCTTGCTCATCCTCTGCCTGCAAAACTTATTGAATAATATTTCCGAGCAGAGCAGAGCAGGGCCAGGTTGCTTGCTTAAAGAGAGCTCGCCCAAATCACATTTACTTCAGCAGGTTGCACTTATATTTAATTATAAGACGTGCTCCACAAACCTGCGACGCAGCTTCTCCTGCAGCAGCTCCACTTGCAGCTTGTAGTTCTCCAGCTCCGCCTGCGGATACATCTCGCTGCTGCACTGGGTCTAGTCGCGCTCGCACTCACCGTTCGACTGTCGACGGCAGCCGGTGCTCTGCTATGTTGACACAGTTAGCGTGGCACCGCGGGCCCAGCACCAAATACAATAAATGAGGCATTGAGAGTTATTTTTAAAGCAACTTTATTGAATGGCCGCATAAAGGTGCAAGCGTATGTGTGTGTCTGTGTGTGTGTGTGCGCGCTTGGCATTTGTTTATTGAGTACGGTCGTCATGGCTACCTCATTTCTTAAGTTCAGTTTTGTTCACTTTTTATATATTTTTGGTGGTTGCTTGGCATTGGCCCGGGCTACCAGCAGGAGGCAGGCGACAGGCGACAGTCGAGACTGCGGAGTGACCTGCCCTTATTGATTTTACTTTGGCCCCTTTTGGCTATGGCCACACAATGTGGCAGGCATTGAGAGCGGCCGTCTAACTTTCGATTTTGCCCGTGTTACCATCTGGGGTGCGCATTAATTGCACGGCCAGCAAGTGGGTCAGTTTTTTAAGCACCTGTCTGGCTCGAGTGGTGAGAATCGTTGGGGCTGGCCAGAGCATTTGTCATGGCATTGCACGAGACCGCAGACTCCGCACTAAACTTTACCGATCCCTGTCCACACTTTAGGGTGGCTGACAAAAAACACATGTTGTTCTCACTCTCACGCTCCCTCTCTCACCGTCTCACTCCCGCTCCCACACTCACGCTCGCAGTTCTGGCGAGGCAACCAAGCGTCTATCACTCGTTGGCCGCAGACAACGGCGCTCTGACATATTCACAGAGTCACCATCATGACCAGAGCCGCGACATCGCCAGTCGGTGCAGCAGAGAGACCCGACTCCTGCTCCTGCTCCTACTGCTGTTGCTGCTGCTGCTACCCCTAGTTCAGCGTGAGGTTGGCTTGGCTTTCGCTTGGCATCTGCCGTTGTCGTCACGGTGTCGCGGTTGCGGCTCGCAACATACAATTTTCGGTTATTTACACTGGCCAACATAAATGCGACGAGTTATGCGCGCATAAACAGAGTATGCTGCATGCAGTGTATGTGTGTGTTTGTGTGTGTGTGTGTGTCGATGGATAGCTTTTAAGGGTGGTTCAGCTTGTATTTAGTAGACACTAAAGATAGCTGGCTAAGAAATGTAGCCCGATATAGAAAATAAATTAAAGGAGCATTTATGTAAATATTTATTTTCATCAGACAAGTATTAACCTGATCTATAGTTCTAATATACAGAGATTTATAGCTCATAGATAAGAATCTAATAAGAATAAAAAACCCAAAAGACTGTCATTGGCTCAATTCAATCCATTTTATAATAGTAAAATATATAGACACAAAAATAAATAAATTATGGACTAATCATAATAGCAATACCAATAAAATATTACCGAAAATACATTATTAAAATATATATGTATAATATATATGTAAAAAAAAAAATGTATGCTGATTTAATATTTGAAATATAAATATATTTAAATAATAATAATAACATATAAAAAAAAATTAAATAAAGAAATAAAAATTTATGGTAGTAGATTAACATTTAATAATCATATTATTAATATTTTTAATATTTACAAATTAATATTTCTTTTTTAAAATATCACAAACCTCCCATTCTTAAATGCCTTATCCTTTGCAATTTATATGATCCTTGGTACCACATGTCCTATGTAAATATTTAAACAACATGCAACAACAAACACAATCGTAAGTCAAAGAAAAAAATTAAATAAATAAATAAAAATTTAAGACTATTAAAAGAATTCAAAGCCTTAGCTTGAAATTCCTATTTTTATTTGTAGTCTGGTCAGAGTGCTCCACAGCCACCTCCATGTGAATTCCTAGTTAAATGAATTGAAATATTACCTGTAAAGTCCTCGACTGAGGCATTCGCTCACATATTTATGTTGGAGCTTATGGCGAAATGAATTTAAAACAATTGAGTTGCCAAATAAAGTTGTTGCCAAGTTACAAAAGTACCAGCCACGCCTATTCCCCTCCACAAAGCTGATAAAAATATGAATGAAAAGCCAAATATTTGCTCGAAAATTCTATTGACATGCAATCATCAGCTCAGAGACTGAGACTGGGACGGCGCTTGATTGATTTTTAGCAGACATTTCAAACGAATTGTACTCTAAATTGTCGCGCAATATATTTATTATTGGCTTTGATCTGCAGCTCGCGATAAAATGCATTGGCCAAGTATTGAACAAATGGCAACTGGCCTCAATGGCTATGCACTTCGCTACCAAAGTATAAAAGAAACGGAATTCGCTGGGAAACTTTCTTGGCGAATCGAAAAGAAAATTGAATATTTGGCCAGAGCGAATTTATGTGTATGGCTTTATGCTGCAAATGCCACATTTTGTGGGACTATGCTGCTTGCAAGAGTCGCCCTCTCTCTCTCACACACACTCTTTCTCGCCTTCTCTCTGTGCGTGTGCGTGTGTGTGTATGTGTGTGTGTTGCCTGCTTATCAGTCGCTGCACAGCATACTTTTTGGCGCATTTAATTTCAGAAGAAGTGGCGACCTCGACGCCTTTTCCCGATTTGCAGTCAATGAAGCAGAAAACTGAAAACTTTTTCTTTGCACTCTATTAAAAATAATGGCCGCTGACAGCGGAGCCACTCGCCCAGCGCCAAGCGCCAAAGACGCCACATGCAGTTCCCATGTGTCGGTATGCCGCGGCGGCTCTGCTCTGTGCCAGCCTCACAGTGGCTCACAGTGGTTCGCAGTGGTTCACAGTGTGTGCGCGAGACAGCAGCTGCCATTATATAAATATGTATATGTATATGTGTGTGTGTGTGTGTGTGTGTGTGTGTGTGTGTGTGTGTGTGTGTGTGTGTGT